GTTAAATAAAAAATGGACTTATGAATAAGTTGTTTCTCCAAGAAGTCCATTCTATAGAAGTAATGAATGCGGACTTTGGAGAATTCCATTTTGTATAAGTCCATTACGAAATGGACTTTCCTAGAAGTGCTTCCAAACAAGCACTAACTTAACTCCTTACTATATCACCCCGGATCAGGAAGAAGAGAGCACTTCACTTTCCATTGAGGAGTACTTCATATTTCAACCAACGGCTAAGGCCTTCTATCGGCCTTAAACCCAAGTTCTAACACCAGAGCTACAGGTCCGGTCTGAGGGTAGTTAAAACAGATAAAAGAACCGATGTTGTCTTTGTTCAGTGATTCCCCCCCCAATCATCAATCACTTCACGGACGCGAGTAGCCAACCCCAAAACGCAAGAATCAAGGGGAGCGAAAAATTAATATGATTTAACCGCAAACCCATTTAAACGTAGCAGATAACAACGGGGCTCGAGAATTGAGACCTTTATTTTGAAAACGACTACAAATTATATAGGGACTGAACTTCGCTTCGTTTGTGCCGAAGACAGCCAATAGAAGGAAGAATGGTAGCTACTCTTGCTTCTCGTCCGAACAAGTGGGTTTACAAGGGCCCAGATGGTTCGATCGAAAGGTATAAGGCTCGCCTAGTGGCTCGAGGGTTCTCGCTAACGACTCTCTCAATTACATCGATCCTTTCCTGAACTGAACAAGCAACGGATTGAGCAACTAGCGCGAATACTGAGAAAGGTGCAACTGCCTCTACTCCTCTGTAATACCTAGCTCAACTTGACGTGAAGACAGCGTTCTTACACGGAGATTTAAATAAGGAAATCTACATGACTCAGCCAGCTTACAATATTCTTATCTTACGATTATAGAGTGGCAACAATGCCCCAAGGGAAGAAGCCACCTCTGGCGTAAAGAAAGGGGGGTAGACCGAGCTCATCAATCAAAACAAAGGAGCTCCTTCAGCTGGGTGATAGCAAGATCAGTCTTCTAGAGCAGCTAGTCCCTGAACTTTTTCGTTTTCCCGTCTTTTTCGCTGTCAAAGTCTAGAAAGAATTAAAAAACTCGCTTTCTTTCCTAAACAGGCTAACTCACTGCCAGATCCAAAATGGTAAACTAATACTGACTATTCTCTGTGGATATCTGGTTGGACACCAAGCATTTTGACCCCCATTTGAATGCAGAGTCAGAGTATTAATAACGTAGTGTAGAGGGCTGGCTCATCAATCGAGTACGGTCCGTGTGCCCTTTTTCTCTTAGTCGCTAATAGATGGAAAGACTAGAAAGAAGATAGTTTGGCATCTATCCATCCATATCGAAGGTACGGTTGGAAAGAGAGGTTTGTAAATCATTCATTCTTAGGCCCAACGGATAGAGAGTCACTATGGAAGAGGTATGAGCTCATAATGCAAATTATGAGAACATTTAATATATGAACACTTTGAGAAGAGATAATTCTTAAAAATATTTGTCAAACATAAAAATTTCAAAATAACTATACAATCCGCTATTTACAAAATAAACAAATAATAAATAAATAGAATAGAATATTCACAAACACCTAATATAATATACTCTATCAAATCAAATCAAATAT